CGAGTTGGGCCAGGAATCTGGAACTGTGTGACATGATAAATCTGGAGAAGGTCAATAGTGTTGAGGTCATACGGGGCATAAAGAAGCGGATCCTGTTGAAAATCCCTCGGATTCAGTACCTGGCTTTGGTGTTGCTTGAAACCATAGCTAAAAACTGTGAGAAGGCGTTTTCTGAGATCGCTGCTGAGAGGGTGCTAGATGAGATGGTGAAGTTGATTGACGATCCTCAGACTGTAGTAAACAATCGGAACAAGGCACTCACCATGATTGAAGCTTGGGGCGAATCCTCGAGTGAGCTTCGGTATTTGCCTGTTTATGAAGAAACTTATAAGGTACATTCTCAGCTTGGTTGTTTTATTTGGATCATATTAAATATAGATACTAATAATATTTTGTTAATTGCACTACTTCCCCCAAGTATTGGATATGATTATATGAAACTATGAAAGGCTTCGGCTATCTATTCCCAGAGACCTTAATATTTTCTGATCACTTAATTCCTTGGAAGATATTACGGAGTATTAAATTTGATCTAACTAATTCTGTATAAGATTTCGTTGACTAACCTATGCAGCTACTCCTTATTGTATATGCGAGATGGACAAGATGGGTATATAACAGTTGCGATAACTAAAATTTGGCTTCTGTGTATGAAGTATCATCTCTTGGTCAAGACATTTATATGACTCAGTTTGCTTCTTGTAAAATATTGTTTGAAACACTCTCATTTTCCTCTCACCCCCTTTCTGTCATTATTCCCCTCATCTCTTTTGAGTTCAAAATGCCCTTTGAGCATAGGCTGTGCATGATATCCTCAATTTTAAAATTTTATCTAAGAGTGTTTGGTAAACCTGTTCAGTTATTCTCAATGCAAAATGGTAAGATGGTTTTATTAAGTTTGTGAGCTGAACTAAATCTATAGCATATACTTACGGCATCTGATTCCTTGGCTAAGAGATATTTATTTTTGAGCAAAAATAAAAGCCAAGAGATATTTATTTTTGAGTATAAATAAAAAAGAATCACAAAATCAGTTATACAACTCTGAGTTACTATTCTTCTAAATTCTGACATATGCCTCTTCATTGTGATATTGTGTTTTCTTCATCCATCTACTGTTCTCATCATAGAGTTTGAAATCAAGAGGTGTACGCTTCCCTGGTCGTGATAATGAGAGCCTAGCCCCTATATTCACTCCTGCAAGATCTGTTGCCACGTCAGAAACAAATGCCACTCTTGCACAACAGTTGCACAATGATATTCCACTACCAGTGGCATTGTCAGCTGAACAAATCAAGGAGGCGCTTGACGTAGCAAGAAATAGTATAGAGCTTCTTACCACTGTTTTGTCCTCTTCACCTCAGCAAGATGTTTTGCAGGTTATTCTGTTCTCCGCATCCTCTTTGTTAATATTCAGTTCAAAATGTCAAATATCTATTAAGACCATGGCTTTCTAACCTTACAGTTACGTAAAACAATACACTTCATTTTGAAATTTGGATGTTGTGGGTCCACCCACATTCTTCATTGGCAAGGGGAGGGTGGAATGATGGATTTAAATTAGACCTCTTACATGGAGTCTTGGCCTGTGGGAGGGGTCTAGAGTTTATACATGCCGGGGTGTACAGTTTAAGGGCCATTGATACTTCCTTGATCCTACTAAAAATGAAGTTAGATGCCCACAAAAACATACTCCCTCCGTTCTCAAAAACACTTCCTCTTTCATTTTTTCCACTTCCAACAAAACACTTCCCTTTTCTATTAAAAAACCACTTTTATCCCTACTTTTTCATACCCTACCTATCACATCATACTTTTTCTCTAATAATCTATCCATCACATCTTACTTTTACCCATCACATCAGGGGCAAAATTGGAAATCAACTATAATTTAACACTTCCTTATTTTTGCCCCCAAATTAAAATGGGAACACTTTTTCCAAACGGAGGGAGTAATATTTTGCTGTGAAACATTGCCATTATGCTTTTTCCATAAATAAAGTGTTACCTGGCACTATGATTTAATTGCCACTGGCCCCAACAAATTGGGATTAAGGCGTCGATAACGAGGAATGAATGGCTTGGAAGAGTGGTTTTAGGATTCGTACTTTTAATGACTTTTCCAATTTTTTATCCATTCAAAATCTAATATGCCCTACAACAGTTCTAGTATAATGTATAAACAAGTACTATGTAAAACTCAAAAATAAAACTCATTTGTGGAAATTGTGGTGCAATGCACAGAATGATACTATAACATCTTTATAGTAATAACAAGAGATTTAAACAATTGATAAATGTAAATAATTCAATGGTTCTAATGATACTCTCCTAACCATCCATGTAATAAGAATATGATGATTAAATCCAATTCGTTGGATGAATTGGACTGACTATAGACAAATGGACTCTTACGCCACCCTTATTTGTATTTGGGGGCAAACTTATAGTGTTCTCTTTCACTCTCCATTCTCCACTAGTACTAAAACTTTCCACCATTTTTGTGTTTTTGGACAATTTAAGGATGAGTTGACAACCACGCTGGTACAACAGTGCCTCCGATCCCAGAGCACTGTTCAAAGAATCATCGAGACCGCAGGAGATAATGATGCCCTGCTATTTGAAGCGTTGAATGTGAATGACGAGATGGTGAAAACCATTTCAATGTATGAAGACATGAAAAAACCTGCAGTGGTTCCTTCAGCTCCAGAACCAGCTATGATACCCGTCGCATCCGATGAGCCAGATGACTCCTCCCCTCATGCAGGAAGGGAAGGTGATTTGATCCGAAAGCCTTCGGGCCCACGCTCTGGAGCTCTTCATGGTGGGGCCAATGACGACATGATGGACGACCTCGATGAGATGATCTTCGGTAAAAAAGCAGGGGGTGGCAGCAGCGACTCATCTGGATCCAGATCGGACACGAAGCAACCGCCGAATGATCTCATTTCCTTTTGAATTTCCACCGTGGCACTAGATCATTTTCACTCAATCTTTTGTCTCGAACATTTAAACTACTGCTATTTCAACTTGAATTGCCTGAATGATACTTGAACGATGATATATATTGATATGTACAAAATGTACATTTACTTGCTATGTGTGAGATGACTTCTCCATCGGTATTTCACCCTTTATTATGTAAAACTCTACACTATTAACTATTAATGGATGGTGCGGTGTAAGAAGTAACTCTCATTATCAATTACTCGTAGGCCCCGTTTGGTACATGGAATTCAAACTATGAAATTGGAATTGAGGACATCAATTCCAATTCTGGTGTTTGGTAGCACAAAAATTATGTGGATTTGGAATTGATAGTGCAAAATATGAATTGGAATTGGTGAATTCAATTCTATGGAATTGAATCCCATGGAATTTCAATTCCAATTCCATCAATTCCGTATACCAAACGGACCCGTACTGTATTTTTTTAAATTTACCCTTTACTGTTTTACTATGTGGTTTCTTTACTCTTAGATCAAACACTAATAGTCTAAGATGAACAAGAAATTATATAATCCGTATATATGGAAGATACAAGTGATGAGACTCTATATGTGGAATATCGTGACTTATATCTATATATACCATTAGACGATAAGATTTTTCTTTAATTTTTTTCATGTGTAAAGAGGAAAACTGATCCCAAATGTTCAATTTTGGATTGGAATGCTGGGAAGTAGGAGATTTTTTCTTTATGTGTTATGGGGCTTGACCCAAGGCATGAAGGAGGCGTCATGCTCCGTTACAGTGTGACCACCACGACACAGCGCCTGTGACAAAAGAGCTTGATGGTGGTCAAGGGTGTTGCACCACTTTTTCTTTTATTTTTTTTAATTTCAAACCAATCAAAACTAAACACATATTCACATTCCATCATTTCTATCACACTACCACAATACACGTATTTTTATCACTCCACGTCATACATTTTTACATACTATCAAGTCTTTATCAAGCCCGTCATAACACATGGCGTAATAGCAACTCTAATGGTGATTTGGTAATGAAATGAAGAGAGGAACAATTAGATGATAAAGGGGAATATGGGGGGGGGGGGGTTCANTCTAGAAAAAGAATGAGAGATAATTGGGCAAAATAGGATAATGAGACCCCCTTGATAATATGACCCACTTCCTACATTAGAGAAGAACGATAAGAAATAAACTTTTAAGAAATCTTTTATCTTTACATTTCAAGAAATATTTTGAAAAGTAAAACCAAAGGCTAAAATTTGATGATAAGAAATAAACTTTTATAATCATGTGTTTTTTTTTCTCAAAAGAAAAGTAATTTTTTTTAAAGTTGAAAAAAATAAAAAGATGTTAATACAAACAAAGGGAGTACTTACATTATAGTATTGTACTACTCTCCACAATACTAGTTGTTTAATTTTGAGATTTTTTTGTGGTCTTAAAGTCTACATTTATTTCATATACCTTAGTATATACTAGTAATTACTATAGATGAATTGGACTTTTAAAAAAATTAAAAATCACCATGTCGACATATGAAAAGTATAAATAAAGTCTACATTGATGTGAACCTTAGAATTATGAAAGAATGAATTTTAATTTTGTTAAATACTACTCCGTAACTGCTACATTTTACAAATCGAAAGACAAATTCTATGGTGGATTCAAGGTCTACCATTGACCTACATACAAAGAAAATGAATATTTTTTACTATTTAAATAAATATTTGTTTTTTTAAAATAAAAAAAAATCTTTTATGTGAAAAAGACTACAAAGATTATATGCACCCAATGTACACCAAAGAAGCACTCTATACGAAATACTCCATTCCATTAAAAATAAAAAATTAAAGAACAAAAAAGAAAATTATCTTCATTCAAAAAAAATTATGTTGGACATCATAGACCTCAAGGCCCAAACAAATAAAAATAGGATAATTGGAACTCCACCTAAAAAAAACTCCGTCATTACGGAATACTTTCCTTACCACGCGAACTACAATGCTAAACCGCGAACTAAACCCTGAACTTTCTCGCACTCTATTTTATTTACTTTTTTTTTTCGGGCAATTTCTTGTTCCACAAGAACCCTCTAAACCCTACTAACATCTGTAATCTTCTCTGAAATTTCTTCCCAAGGAATTGAAAATCGTCGGAAATGGCGAAAGTTAGTGCAGCTGGGCTCGTCGCAACCCTGGCTGCTGCAGCATTCGGTGCACAACCTGCTTACGCAGATGGGCCTTTCACCTTCTCTCCATTCCCATCGTCGGCCCAACCCTCTGCTCAGGCTCCGGCGGAGGCTGACGCCACGAAGCAGCCACCGCCGGCTGAACCTCAAAAGCCTCGCAATGATCATCCCAGAACAACATCCGCCGGATTCGACCCAGAAGCTCTGGAGAGAGGCGCCAGGGCTTTGAAAACGATTGACAAGTCTACCAGTGCAAAACAGGTTAGCTATTGGATTTAATTTGGGGGTTTCCACTAGAAGAAACTTCGTGATGTGGTGGGAATGTTATAATGCGTGCACTCTTTCCTGCTTGAAGTGGCTCTAATTAATGAAATTTGGTATTGATTTATAATCCTTCTCTAAGTTTTATGGCTTAAAAGGTCTCTTATCACGTGAATAATGGTGCATTGTGCTTAGTACCTTCATTTTTCATAATTGTCTTGTCTACTTGGTCTTGTGAAGATATATCAGATAGTTAACATGATCGTAAGGTGTTTTGAGTATGCACTTTATGGACTAATTTGTGATCATAAGAAATGAGCACTTCCAGAAGTATCGCATATTTTAAAATGAAGCTTTCATTTATTTCAAGTGCGAATTGATTCATTGCAGGTTTTTGAGGTGATAAGAAAGCAAGAGGATACAAGGCAAGCAGAATTATCTGCAAAATCGGCTGAATTTAAAGCTCTGCAAGCTCAAGCTGAAACCGTAAGATTGCTCTTCCTCACGTGTCAGTCCTATACCATACCATCCTCAGTTTAATGCGTCTTGTTTTACTGATTCTGTGCAATTATCTATGTGCCAAATAATGATATCCATATTCTTTTCATAAATTTATTTAGAACTGTCATCAAGCATTGTGATAGGTTGCTAACCAGCAAGGCAACAAGATTTTGTCACAATCTCTATATCATAACTAAATGGGTAACTGATGTTTGCTCAAGTTCTGCTGAACAAAATAACATCACTTGCTGAACCAGCTTACTTAATTTTCTCAGATTTAATTCCATCCTCATTTTTATTTGCTTTAATTACAATGGGAATAAAAAAACTGCAAATAAGTAAATGAAAGAAAGTTGCCTAGTATTGTTCATTCTGCAGTGTTAAAAAGAAATATGCCAGTATTGTTTTTCATCTCATTTTCTTTTCTTTTTCCGATTCCTAGAACCAAACATAGCTTATGGGAAATGGTTAAGCATTCTAAATATGCAAAATTATCATTAATGCACATAGTAAATGAGCACATATAAGTCCATTCTATCGTGTTCATTTAATGATAATTTTCCATGCTTAGAATTCTTAAACATTGCCCTAAGGGTAATGGGTAGCAAAAACATAGTTGCAATGTTTACACCAAATGCAATTTGTGTCACAACGTTCTAGAGAAGGATTAATTACATGGAATTCCAAATCCATTTAATACTGTTTTTTTTCATTTGCATTGAAAATATCATGAGATGACTACTAGTTGTCTAGTTGTGACACTTAAAGTAATAATACAACAACTATACTTATGCATTTGTTGCAATTCTTGAGAATTCTTCACAATTGTCAATGTAGTGATGGTTTTGCAGAAAAGGTTGGCCAATCCATTATGATATGATTTAATTTTGTTCATTTTTATAAAATAAAGTCTACTTTATGTCTTAATCAGAATTCTGCAAATTAAGTGCATTTTTCTACTTTTATCTAATCCATGAAGTTAATCTTAATTATATGACGTTTCACATGAATTTTCCACTTTGGATATTATGTTCTACTAACAAGTAAGTACTTTACTAACCAGTAACCCCCATACTTAACCCAATGTCCTCTCACGATTGAAATAAAATCTGTAATTAGTTACCCAATAAGAATCCTGAATTGATAATTTTAAAACAATTTGAGCTTTGTTAGCCAAGCAGAATTTTAAAAGAAGCAACTTTCTTGTTTGACAGGAGAGGCAAAGAGTGATATATGATGAACAGAAAAAGCTAGCTCAGCAACAGGCACAAATCAAGTCACAAATGGCTCGTTATGAAGATGAGTTAGCAAGGAAAAGGATGCAGGCACGTGAAGATTTTATCTACAATCCATTCCAAATGAAACTTGCTAGTTAGGAGTATATATAACTTTTTCCAGCAAATTATACAGGCCGAAAATGAACATCAAAGAGCACGAAATCAGGAATTGGTAAAGATGCAAGAGGAGTCGGCTATGAGGCAGGAGGCAGCCAGACGAGCAACAGAAGAACAAATTCAAGCACAGCGCCGGCAGACAGAGAGGGAAAAGGAAAAGATGAAACAGGAAACTATCAGAATACAAACTTTAGCTGAAGCAGAAGGAAGAGCACTTGAAGCTAAGCTTGCTGAGGATGTTAACAGAAGATTGTTAGTAGAGCGCGCTAATGCAGAAAGAGAAAAATGGATATCGGCAATAAATACAACTTTTGAGCATATTGGAGGTATGGTCTTCATGATCCTTAAAGTGACGATTAGTGTGGTACATGAGAGGTTGAGGTGGCGTAACTAAGATCTGAGTTTTCTGTAGGACTCTTTAGAGTATATTCAGCATATCTTTATTTCTTTGTTCTAAAAACAGTATAATAAGTAATCAAGTGACCTCTTGTTTTGTGCTCCATATCTCCAAAAAAGAGAGCCTTGTTAAGAGTAAGGTTCGACTTCTTGTTTATAGTCAAGTCAATCAAGGTATAACTTTTTTCAACTACGAAAGGTCACTTATTCCCCCCAAAACATATTTCAAATGTAGTGCCATAATTGATTTAAATTGCTCGCCGCCTGGCTTTACAAGAATTTTACTTAAATAATGAAAGTTGATTAAACCTGGCTTTTATAGAACAAAGTTCTTAAAACATCACTTCTTTTTGGGGTGAAAGCACTAGAATTCTCATTAAAATTTTTGTACTAACACAGTAAAAATTTGGAAAATTGTTGAAAGCAGATTCGGTGAAGTCTTGCTATACAAACAACTGAACAAGACAACCACTTTTTGTGACCAGTAATAAAAATGAGCACCTCGTTTGGATTTTTTAGGGAAGTTGTCCATCTTTTGTAGGTGGGATAAGGGCAATATTAACTGATCAAGATAAGCTGGTTGTGGCTGTTGGTGGTGTGACAGCGCTTGCTGCTGGCGTCTACACAACAAGGTATTATGAACCATAATCAATACTATCAGAATAATTTCATATATTTGAAGTTACCCTTCTTGATTAACTCATCTACTGGATAAATTCTTATTCATTTTTTTCCTATTTCAGGGAAGGTGCTAGAGTAATTTGGAGTTATGTGGATAGAATATTGGGACAACCATCATTGATTAGAGAATCATCCAGGGGAAGGTACCCTTGGTCTGGTTTCTTTAAGCGTGGCCTGAGCACTTTTTCAAAAGGGGTATCTGCATCTCAGGCTGAAAAGGGACTCGAAGACGTTGTTCTAAACCCCTCCCTTAAGAAAAGAGTTTCTCAGCTAGTTAGGACTATGACTTTTACAAAGGCACATCAGGCACCCTTTCGTAATGTCCTTTTCCATGGGCCTCCAGGGACAGGAAAGACATTGGTTGCTAGGGAGATTGCTCGCAGCTCTGTAAGTGTTCTTTTGTAACTGTAAGGGTCCTTTTGGAACACGATATATATTAGGGAAATAAACTTGGGAGAAAAATAGAAAGGAGAATCGGAAAGAAAGGGAATGTGTGAAAATAAAGAATAGACTCAAGCTCAATAAATCTTCAAATGCACTTATTTGTGTTGCTCCAAACAATAGAAAGGAGAATTGGAAAGAAAGGGAGTACTATTTAAAATACAAAGAAATATGAATATATGCTTACAATATACTACTATCATTTGAAGAATGAAATTTAAATACATGCATAACAAAATCAAAAGAACAATCATATTGCAATTTTGTTTCCATTTTCGAATGTAAAGTCAAATACTCTCTCCATCCTACAAAAGAGTTGTTTCATCATGGTACGGACTTTTTAATTTTGAATATGGTAGAACCATTATGAAACATGAAAACTAGCACGTTTTGATTAAATTGGACTCTTTTTTGGGGGAACAAAGGCCTGTCAAGAAACTCGAGTGCTCTTATGGTAAGGAGAGAGTATAAGGAATAGCCTTAACTTATTTTCTTGACATTTTCCGAGATCCAAACACACCACACAGGCCCTCAGGATAGTATAATTCAATTTACACGCACTTTTGTTCTTGGTGGACTCTGATCATAATATAAATCTTGGTGTATGTTTCTAGGGACTTGACTATGCATTGATGACAGGAGGTGATGTAGCGCCACTTGGTCCGCAGGCTGTAACCAAGATACATCAACTGTTTGACTGGGCCAAAAAGTCCAACAGAGGCCTGCTACTGTTCATTGATGAAGCAGATGCATTTTTGTGCGAGTAAGTGAGAATTTATTTCCCCTCATATTTTATAAGGTCTCTCAGTGCGCTTACTCTGCCCTTAGTATGCTCATTTCCCTTTGTTCTTAGTATGTTTGTGCTTTTATGTCCCCTTTGTTCTTTTCCGAGTAGGGGTAATGTCTGTGCACACATACCCTCCCCAGACCCTACTTTTGTGTGGGATTTTACTTGTTTTGTTGAGTGTTTTATACTCCCTCCGTCCGAAAATATTCTTCCCACTTTCTTTTTTGGTCCGTCCGGAAATATTCTTCTCATTTCCTTTTTTAGTATACTTTTTAAGGATAAAAATCAATAATACCCTTCTATTTTATCACAAATCTACTTTTTTAGTACTTTTTTAATAATAAAAGGAGATTTAAAAGTTTATAGTATGTGCATTTTTTGAAAATTTTGTATTCTTTTACTATTCCTTAATAAGCGTGCCAAGTCAACACGGGAAGAATATTTCCGGACGGAGGGAGTATAATGTATGTTTGGATCACGAGAAAGAAAGAGAATGAAACTTGACTAATTTTCTAACTTCAGGCGGAACAAGACCTACATGAGTGAAGCCCAACGGAGTGCCTTAAATGCCCTTCTGTTCAGAACAGGTGACCAGTCAAAAGACATAGTCCTTGCCCTTGCTACAAACAGGCCTGGTGATCTTGATTCAGCTGTCACGGACCGTATAGACGAAGTTCTTGAATTTCCTCTCCCAGGCCAAAGTGAGCGCTTTGAGTTGCTAAAACTTTACATGGATAAATACATAGCTCAAGCCGGAGCACGGAAAGCTGGCTTCCTTTCCCGGTTCCGTAAACCGGCTCAGAAGATTGAGGTCAAAGGGTTGACCGACGACATCCTGAAGGAAGCCGCGGCAAAAACGGAAGGCTTTTCGGGGAGAGAGATCGCCAAACTGATGGCAAGTGTTCAGGCCGCTGTTTATGGTAGCGAGAACTGCGTCTTGGACCCGTCTCTCTTTCGTGAAGTTGTAGATTACAAAGTTGCAGAGCATCAAAAGAGGAAGAAATTAGCTGCTGCTGCTTCTGGAGATGGAAAGGCCGTTTGATTCAAATCATGTTGGGGTTTTGAATTTAGATATTTTATTGATATTTTTTTTACCCAGATGATTTAGGCATATATACGTATCCTTGTTCTATTGAAAAATTTTCTGTATTGGTTCTCAAAGCTCAAAGTGCCCCTTTTTTTTCTTCCTCACAAGGAATTTTGATATTGACCAAGTGTTCTCTTGGAGCATCTCCTTTTTGAAGTCATGCTCTATCATCTTTTAGGAGATGTTTGGTTTTAGTTAATAAAGCATTGGGGCGTCTGTTACATTTCTAGTTAGAAAATAGCTCCCAACTTTTTCAAGCTTTTTCAAATTTTTTCCAGTTTTTTATAACTCTTTCTAATTTTTTTCAACAATGACTAAAAAGAATTAGTTAGAGTATATAATAATATATATATTAGATTTATAAAATGTCACTTCAAGTATGGATAAAGTTGAATTCTTTTTCATCCCATATTAGTACTTTAACAAATTTATTTGAATGATTATTTATTTGAGCAATTTTTTAAGATCTAATTTTTTTCCAATTTATTTCAACTTTTAGTTTTTTTAACTCCTAGTTTCTTTTAATTTTTTCAACATTTAATTCTGCTTCTATGATTCAAACGATTAGAGCCTAAAACTTCACAAAAACTAACATCTGAAAAGGGTGTAGTAAACTTCTCTTACTCGGAAACTATTTTGGTTATGAAAAAGGTCCATCAATGTCTACATAGCAATGAAATCTTCATTCAAGCACAACTCAAGATCATTAAAGACACATAAATACATTTCAAAGACAACAGTGCAATTTGATTGCACTACTAAAACTTGGAAAAAGAGGACAAATTGCCATTGAGCAACTTAATGATGATGACCACCCCCCCATCATTGTGATCTTATACGTAGTGTAAGCCACAGTACTTGCAAACTACTGATTTATCTAAATCAAGACATATATACTCAATTGGATGCCCGAGTGCAGGATTGCTATCTGCATTTGGGGGGGGGGGGGGGGGGGGGGGGGGGTTATTCATTTCAAAAGGAAACATTAGCATGATGACACTAAGCAAGTGTTAAATACAAGTGCATAGCATTAGCATAGCTCAATATAATCTCAACTTTGTTAAATAAATAGCAAAACACAATATAATAACACCCAAATATGCAACATATATTGATCAATGAAACTCTTTTAGGAGCCATTTGGTAAGTGCAAGAGATAAGAGATCTCGATATCAAAATTCTTTTTTAAACTGTTTGGTGAAGCCTAATAAAGGTTTGGATTCAATATCTTCTCTTATCACAACCCTCCCAAAGAGTGCTTTGATATCTCTTGAATTTAGGAGATATCAATCTGAAGGCTTTGATATTTCCTACAACCACCATTCACATGTCACTAACGATCATCATTTCACCTGCTTAAAGTACATACACTTTCATTTCAAATTTTAGAACTCATATCATTTCTTCCATATTTCGAAACCCGTGTCCTATCAACTTTGCTTTGCTTACTAAATAGGCCCTTAGCTCTAGTGGAAACTCAAGAGGGAATATTATTTGCATTTATATACATAAACTTACCTCCTTCACATGGGACGATCCTGCCCTCCACCTTTAAGGGTGGAACTTCATTGATAAACTCCATAAGGGACCGTTTGGTATACGGAATTGATGGAATTGGAATTGGAATTTCATGGGATTCAATTCCATAGAATTGAATTCTGCCAATTCCAATTCATTTTTGCACTATCAATTCCAAATCTACATAATTCCAGAATTGGAATTGATGTCCTCAATTCCAATTCCATAGTTTGAATTCCATGTACCAAACGGGGCCTAAGAGATTTTTCTTTTTTTTTTGCTGAAATCCTGCCAATACATCACTAAGAAAACCCCATAAATAAGATTCAATCACTTCACTTTACATGAAAAATGACAACTAACACATGGCTATACAAAGCAAATATGATACACCCTCATGCATACAAAGATAGAAGAGAAAAGTGTACCAAATACACTTGAACTCTTCGAAAATTAGACGATTTATTCCTGAACATTTAAATAAAGACGATAATTTTGGGGAATGATGTTTTGGAGAATTCACAAGAGCCATATGAATCATATTCGCGAATAAAAAAGTTTTATTTGTGACATTAGACATAGTTTTTGTAGATATTACTATCTCCGTCTCATTTTATAACGCCTGTTTCGGTTTACGATGTTTGACTGAAATTATTTTCAAACCATTTTATATGACAAATGATATAGAATTAAAAAATAAAAATTACATATTAAAAAACTACATCAAAAGATCTACAAACATAGTAGTGACAATAATATTTTATTTTATCAAATTGCTAACGAAAATAGAGAAAGAAAGTGAATGAAGTTTGACTCTGTGAATAGTAAACAGGTATTATAATTTCGGACGGAGGGAGTATTATGTACAGAGTGTCTTGTAATTTTGGTTGTTTTATATAATGACATAGATAAAAATGCTTCACTTTAAATTTGATTCAAAGATTAAAAATAAAATTATGTGTTTAAAATTAATACTGATGGTGTAAATTACCTAGTCGGGTAAACATTACAAGACCGGGTCTAGGATCGTTTACTAGATTTGCAAGAGTGAAAGGTAAAAACACACAAAGTGACCGGGAGAACTGTAGGTGGAAACACCTGTAGCCCAATTAATATTATGAATATAAAAAAATGCACGAGAGCTTTTACAGGAAAGTTTCAGAGAGAAGAAATCGGCCCCCTTCCTTTGAAGGTTACAACAATATTTATACTAAGTTAAAGGGGACAAAGCGCCGCTCATCCATGTCAGGGCACGTTCCTGGGTGGTGGGAGGTGATTTCCCTTTACTCTAGCTGTCTTGTCACTTAGTGAGAAAGGTGGCTTCCTTGTCATATAGTGTCTTGGATAGATTACTCAAGCATCACTAATGATTCTCTGTTGATCATGGTCGTTACAGTCCAAGCTCCTTTGGATTCTTCTTTGCCGACACTTAAGGTCTTCCTCTCAAGAATAATCAACTTGACCGGTCTAACATTTGGACATTTACTTTAATTGGTTCTAGGTGGAATACACCCATCAAATACAAAAGAGAGAAATCATATGAGTAAGAGTATAGTTTTTTTTAAAAAGAAATACAAAGTAAACTTTTTTTGGAATTTAGAGTAGAAAATTGAAGTCCAGAATAAAAATTTTCCAAATGCCCAAAATCACTTGGCCTGAACGGGTGTGAAGAGTAGAACGACAATTCATGGCTACTAGCGGTGCTTCTCCCGCGTCACACCAAGCTCCCAAAATCCTCTTGGCCAAGCCTGGACTCATCTCCTCCGGCAAGTTCAATCGCAGCGGCGCAGACGAAGACTCCGCCGTGCTTCGTCCTCGTATTCCGCCGATCGGTTCTCTCAACCTCCTTTCCGATTCCTGGGAGTTTCTCGCCGATCGTTTTCTCCCTGTAATTACAACGTCTCGCTCTTTTTTTATATGGAACTCTCATCTTCAGTTTCGGTAAAATTGAATCTTTTATTCTGTTTTTTTGCAGTTTCTTACGGATAATACAGATTTTACTGTGGTGGGGGTGATTGGTCCGCCAGGGGTGGGCAAGTCTACCATAATGAATGAAATCTATGGCTCGGATTCTACCTCTCCTGGTATCCATCTTTTGTTTTAGCATTAGCAATGTTCTTAAAAGAGTAATTATTGTAAACTCAAAACAGTTTTAGGAACACTTTTTTATTGACTTGCCATTGATTAGGAATGCTCCCTCCATTTGCTATACAATCAGAAGAAATAAGGGCAATGTCCAAGCATTGTACTGTTGGAATTGAAACTCGAGTTTCAACTGAACGGATTATACTCCTTGATACTCAGGTGTTTAATTCATTCCTAGCACTCCGTAGTAATTTGTTTCTGTTCCTTTTCTGTCCTTTCATTTTCTTTTCTTTAATTTGTTTGAAGGAAGTTTCGGAGAATAGTACTCCGTATATAAGTTTGGAGAACATAGTTTTGACATTTCAATGAGAACTCGCATAAGGGTTAAGAACTAAAAAGTGATGAAACCTTATATTCCGTACTCCATATTATGCTCATGATTCACATCTAAACTGCATGCAGCCTGTTTTTAGCCCTTCTCTTTTAGCAGAGATGATTAGGCCAGATGGCTCGTCCACAATCTCTGTGATAACAGGCGAGTCCCTCTCTGCTGAGCTAGCTCATGAACTGATGAGTATCCAGGTAGCTTCCAAGATACATACTTTGCCATTGCAGTTTCATTGTCAGCTATGTTGTAATTCATTTATGCTATGTTCCAGACTCATGAAATGGTAGGTATAGGAAAAAGATAGTAATGAAAATCGGGTTTCTGCCCTACTTCAGTATCATTTGTGTGTTATTCCTTCTATATTTGAAGGAACAAAATTATTATGAACAAAAGTGGGGTTTTGGTTTTTTTGTTGGATTTAGGTAGCTCTAAGCCTTTAACTTAAAAATACAAAAACCAAAAACTAAAAACAGACAGTGTTACCGAATGAGCTCTTAGTGTTTGATTTTACATTGGAAAATACAAAGGAAGATTGAATTTGATTAAAGCTTTTGTTTTTATTTTTTAACATATATATGGATTTCTCATTCTTTATATTCTAGAGTTACCTTAATAAAATGAGTTTGAACAAATATCTACATTGATTTATTGGGTGTGAATAAATTTTGTGTTTACCCCTCATTTTCTTCCTTTTCAATTTTTCTCCTCTTTTGATTTCCCTAGCAATTGTCTGGGTTACAAATGGACCATTAACCTCTTTTTTGTAATTTTCTTTTATTTTAAAAGTCGACGTCTAAAGCTCTTATCAATTACCCCATACCTCTTTTGTGTTCATGCAAGGGATTTATGTAGCTTGGCGTGTTTCTTGTGTCCATTTGTCACATTATCATAGTGGTATCAGAAGGTGTTCATGATCTCAGCATGTGGCAGTTAATGTCTACGGTATTTTAATTTACCAACTTTGTACAATTATACTGCATTAGAAATCCATTTGCTGTATTCTAAACCTCTCTATCAAGGCATTGCCAATGAATTTGATGCTTGCTACCACACACATTATTCTGTGTACTAAACTATAACTATTTTATCATTGTTTAGATATTTGATTTCTAAATCATTCCTTGTTTTCTTAGGTGATGATATTATTTGAATTTATTCTGCTATTGATATCTCAATTATGGTATCATGAGCATTTTTACTCCCTCAACTTTGATTGCTTTCACTTTGAGTTATCGAATTAACAAAATATTACCAAGTAGATTTTTAATCCAAAAATCCTTCAATTCCCCCTCAAATGTAGTATGGTCAGGTTTTAGAAAATTTTTACATAGTGAGGATCTATTGCTCTAGAAGTGAAATTCATGGTCAGATATAAATTTAAAGAATCTAAGCTTGTGGAGTACAAATGAAATGTCCCTATAGGGAAAAATATCAAGCCATTGTGCCCGTAGTTTTTGGAGAGAAATCAGACATAAAATGTGAGAATCTAAGTTTGAGCCTTTTTTGCTGCATTCTTCCTCTTGTTTAAAACTCTTTAAAAGCTATGGGCTCATAAAAAATTGTGGGCAATGAGCCCATGTTTTTTTGCAAATTTGATCTTGTTTTATTAATGTTGTTTTAAGAAATTATCACATTGGGATTCAGGTGGACCTGCTAAAACATGGCATACCAGAGCCATCATCTCTATCGCTCTCCCATCCTCAAAGCTCTAGTTTTCCCTCTGAAAAAGAAGGCAAAGATAAAACTGGAGAAGTGGCTGAAGAATACATGGCCACTCCGGTTTTTGTGCATACAAAGTGGGTCAACATATATAGTTACCATGACAGCTAAAATTATACAAGAGTGAAACTTGAATTTTCCTGGTAATGGTAATCGTAGCTCATCTTTATGCTTTCACTTATTGCAGGTTACGCAATGAGGATCTTACTCCACATAATCTCACTCAGTTGAGGAAGGCATTGTCACAGTTTTTCCTTGATTCTTTCTTTGTGAGGTCCAAAGGCACTAATATTTCTGTGAAGGTTAACTCCCAAAGTAGCAATTTAGACTCTCATGTCCTGAAATTATTCCTACTTCCATCAAAGCACCAAGACAATTCCTCAAGAGCATTGTATGAAAGCTCCGTATCAGCATTGTGGAAACTTCGGGATCAGGTTTCTCTTTCTCCCTGATCTCTAACAAAATAAAACATAATTTTGTTCTAGTGGAAAAATACTTCTATGCTCCAGTAGCACCAATCATGCAGTGCTTTGACCATGAATTTTTCCCATTTGTGTTGTTTGTGGGCCATTGGGATGTTCAATTTGACTCCAAGTTGTTCAAACCTCGCGTTAAGTACACATGGTTAAACTTCACTGGTCAGAGCACTAATTTCTCACTACTTTCTGGAGCTCTTAGATTTGTCTCCAGTACAAGCATTGGTTTTCTTGTGGGGAAAAAGAGGCTTTCTAATGGGATCGTTTCTACCCTACCATTTGTTTGGTAAGTGAGAATGAGAATGGGAACTCGGAGTTGGAAGGTGGGATCTGGAATGGGAATTATTAAGGGTAGTTCATGAAATCAATGCAATTCCTTTTTATGCTTGTTTGGAATGGATTAGGAATAAATAGTAATTTACTAAACGATCCTTGCTAGTACTCCACCCAATTCAAATGAAAACAAACGCCCTCTAATGGTATATAATGTTGGAGTTACTTCCTGCGGCTCATGTTTTCCCTCCCAGTAACGGGAAGCCAACCCCGAAAAGCCTTTCATGTGTGGGAACTTGAAGCAACACTCATCACTACAAGTAAATTTAAGTCAACTATTAGGGCATATCTATTTTAGCACCAGAGTTTGACACCAAAGTTTTGGTGTGGCTGTAGCACGATTCTAAGTTTCTAACTACTATTATTGTTATTATTATTCTTCAGGTTTTGTCGATGAGTGGCTCATCGTTCTCAAGGACAGTGTCCGAACGTGACTGGCTTAAAAACTCTGCCAAGATATGGGATCTTGTCAAAGGTTCTTCTACGATTTCAGACTACTGCAAAATGCTCCAAATGTCAGGCATGTTCGGGAGGTAGTCATATTTGGTTTAGCTTAAACAGATATCAAAGTCATTCAACTGATGCCAGAAATGGGAAGCTCTGAATGCTCAAGGCATTATTGTTTCTGGGGCGTTTGGGAGTAGGGAAGGGAGGGAAACTTTGATTGATTGAATTCTAAACAAAGCCAGAATTTGTATTGCTCTAGTAAATTTATTATATTTGGGACTATGGTAGTCATGTGTCTAGTTTCGAGCCTGGTTCGAGTTTAAACTTGTTAAGAAAAAAATGTGGCAAAAAAAGTAGATTATAAATTGAATAAATTCCCAAAATGGTACTCAATAAATATGCCAAACTGGTCTCTAAGATAAACTATTTGTCGAGAATGGTGCTTGTTAATTGAAAATAATATTTAGTTTAGTCCTCCTGGCTAGCGATCGTCAAAATAGCATCAAAACGGCATTGAAACTTCTATTAATTTTCCAAAATGGTCATTTTTAATTGGATATTTTTCCAAATTAGTTCATTTTTTAAATAAAAACTCATTGAAAATGATCCCTCGATTTGCTCAAAGTAAATTAATCAAAATGGAAGACTCCTGCTTTGGTTTTTCATATTTAATTAGTTTTTATTTAAAAAATGGACGGGAAAAAATCCAATTAGAAAGAACCATTTAAGAAAAATAATACTAAAACAATCTAATTTTAATGCATTAATATCATAAAAGATCAAATCTTTTGCAAAAAAAATCACTTGTCAGCTTATGAAATGTGTGAGTCAATATTTCAAATGTGAACCTTAGCACTATGGGAGAACAAATTATTCTATATAATTTTTTTTTATGTTTGGGTAAAAGTTTGAATTTTTTTAAATTACTTCTAAAGCATATGCTAGCCATATTTAGTCTCTATAAAATTAACAAATTTTGTTTTATGTTCCTCTAAAGCAGAACCAACTAATTGGAGTTGAAACAAACACACACTATGAAAAACCATAGAACCAGTGGAATCATGAGTAGCATTTTCATTCACTCATTATCACACATAATTGCAGAGTTTTAATGAAGAGAATAGGATACATAGAAGTGAATCAGAAGTTCAAAAGAACAACATTGCATTGTCAAACTATGTAGGTGTGCTAGTAGCTTGTACAAAAAATTTATAATAAACCCCACATTCTGCTTTTCCCCTTCACTCTTCCATTGCATCCCCAGAAGTTCCTGCAGTTTCTTTCTGGGATTCTGTTTTGCTCTTCCCTGTAAAAATGAGAGCAGTTTTAGAGAAACAGATCATTCATTGCAATACAATCGATGGCAACAAAAAAAACCCAACAAAATCACACAAAGATGGGGATTGAGTGGAGTGTGAAAGCGTGGAGTGTGAAAGCAGACCTTACCCCTAGTCGGAAAAAGAGACTAGAGAGACTATTTCCAAAAGACCACTAAAAGATTATTCAGTGCAATAAGTATGAAAATCCCGTGAGCAGTAACTTGCCTTTCTTTTTATTCTTTTTCTTGAGCTGCTTCACTTTGAGTTTTGAGCTCTTCTTTAAATGGAAACTCATTGGGTTCTTATTGGCACCTCCAGCTTTCCCTGTTTTCAATCAAACAAAGAAGTTTATCAGTCTTAAACAAAGGCAGTCACATGGTTAGGAAAAAGATTTGCAAGACATAGAGACACACCATCAGCAACAGCCATTTCAACATCTTCCATAGTGATTAAACCTTTCCCAATAGCCTCCTTTTGGTCCTGTTGACCACACATCACACCATATGAAATTTTCTTCAAGGCATACAAAAACCCAGCAAATGTTTCTTTCATAACTTAGACATTGATACTTCGATAACCGGTCCGGTTTCGTAATGTAGATAAACTATTTATATTGATGTAGATAAACTTAGACATTGATACTTCAATAAATCTACAATACATAATTACTTTGTACTACCATTTTCTAACACACAGCTTATTTTTTACACTCTACTTTTATGAGAATACTAACATTTTCTTAACCCATCCACCCTTTTTAAACAAATTAACTATTGAAACAAATTTCAATCCCCTTTTTTTAAAGAACTACGGAGTAATTAGTTTGATGGAAACACCAAGGGTTCCCAAAATGGTGCCCAAGATTTGCTCTACTCATTTTTGACACAATTTCACAAACATGACCCTGATTCTACAGGCATGACCATGTGTTGAAATGGTGCGAGCCACAATGAGTCGGGTAAAACTCGGTCGTACTCTTAGTTCAATATGATCATCATCAGACACGAGCTTGCTTGCTTGCGTAAAGGCCACAACAGATGCGAAGTATCTTAGGGTAGAAAGTAGTGAGGGAATGTTAGGGGAAAAAACATACCCTGCGCCATTTTTTGAAGAGCTTGCGCTGGCGCTTGCCGGAGATTGAAAGGGGTTGAGTTCTCTGCTTAAGCTTTTTGGTGATGGGATCGCCGTATCTCGCTCGCTTCTGCTCCGCGATCGCAGCTCGCCTCTGCTTCTGCTGCGCGTTAAAACTCGGCATCCTAATAAAACCCTAGCCGCGATGCGATGGTTTCTGGTTTCTTCCCCTCCGCCTCCTCTATTAATCCGTATTATTTAAAAAAATTCTCGGATCAAAACATATTTTCTCCATCCATGAATTACTTTCATTATTTTTTTTTAATTTGTTCATAAATAGGCAAATACTTTAAAAAAATTAAATAAATAAAAATTAAATATGAATGGGTGGTAGAGAAGGGGGTGCGGGACAGATGGGGTACATCAAAGGTGTACCCATAGCATTGCTCTTTTTTTATTTGACAAAAAAAATCATGCTTTTTTCGTTTTACCCCTACCTTTTATCTATATTATTTTACTTTATTTCATCACAGTAAAGACAATCATGGAAAGTCTTTATACTTTTTATTTTTTTCTTAATTTTCGTGTCAATTTCAAATATGAAAGAAATTGTTGGACAAAGGGAATATCATTTATCCTAAAAATATCAGTTTTATGTTTTTATCCCAAAAATAAAATTCTATATTGCAACTTTATGACATTAAACAGTGGCACCAAACTGTATTTTTTGGTACTGTATATTGATATTATTGGTATTGTACTCCTATTTTGAGATAAAAACATGAAACTCTTATTTTGATACATGATCTATGTTGTACTTCTAGTTTAGACATTTTTTCTTATTATCACTCTCTTTGTCCGCCATAAATCTTTTCAAAATGGCTTTTTTTTAATTTTAAGAAAAATTTAAAAAGGTAGAAATTTACTAAAATACTCTTAATGAAAAGTTAGTAAAGTTTATTAAATAAGATGATTGCGGTGTAATACATAAAGTGGAGATAGTTGTAAAATTTTAAATATTAAAAAAGTAGTGTGAAATATTTCCCGAACAAACAAAAAATCATTTGAGAAGATCTACGCCGAACACAAGAAGCTTTTTTATATTGAAATTGCTTGTTATTGTTTATAAAACTTAACTGAAATTGTTTTGAAGAAGAAGAAAAAAGGGGATGGAAGAAGAAGAAAAGTGAGGAAAGAAGGGGGGGTGAGGGAAGGCTTTGAAGAAAAAGAAAAAGGGTGGAAAGAAGAAAAAGAGGAGTGGGAGGGGAGAAGAACAAAGAAGAAATGGAAGTCAAGTGGAATATTTTAAAATATGTAAAATTATACTCTGGCCCATTTTAACAAAAATTCCTCTTCGTGAAAGGTTTTAAAATTAAAGTATTTTTATCTTAGAAAAAAAAGTTTATTTACCAAAACAAAAGATAACTGAAAATTTAGATATCATATGCAAAATGTATCCACTTTGAATATGATGGTGGTGGTAGCTAAAAACATGAACATAACAAACCATTGACATTTGGAGCAAGTGACCATAATTGTAGTCACTATACTTTGTGTGTGTGTGTGTATATATATATATATAGTCAGGTGATTAATGCACACTCGGTATACATTGCACACATATTTTGATTAACCCCTTCTATCAAATTTGTTTGTCTATTTTACACCATGTGTTTGACATGTGAGACATGTATTTATTTATAAATACATGACAATGGATGATAATCGACAGCTTGATGGGCATGTCACTGACATTAGATCCTAGTTCTACGGGTGTGACAAATTAAACAAAACAATGACCATTTAAAATTGAAATCAAACTTTTAGATAACAAGATCATCTATGTTCTTATACTTTAGATTAATGAGAAATAAATTATCAAAATATAAAATATTGTTCTAATATAATATTCTCTAATGAAATTTATATACAATAAAAAATTATGTCAAAATTTTTTTAAAATAAAAGGTGCCAAGAATTGTATTCCATATTTTATCAATTAGTCCATAAAAATGTACGAATAAATAAAAGTATTTCTAGTAATCTTTCCACATGGCATCGCTCTATTGGATGCTTACACGAAAATTGACGCGCAAAGCAATTAGCAACCCACCCATTTTCTTCTAGCATACCCTTTCTCCGCCGCGGCCCTTTCATTTCATCGATCAACCGTACCACCGGCGGCCCACCCCAGGTATTCCTTCTTCTACGCTCATCTCCGGTCTTCGCTGCTTCAACTTGCAACCGCATCATACATTCTCCGGCCAAAATCTATATATTGTTTTTTATATTATCTATACGTGAAACCTAATTACTAGTTAGTAGATGTTTTCATCATCAATGAATCCTTAGATCCATGTTCAAAATTCCAAATTGGAATCACTGCCTATGCCGATCATCTGTTATCCCTACACGTTTCCGCAGGCGTGTATGAAACACCTATCTTCAGGTCCTATTTTTCACGTTTAAGTCAATTATCTGCATTGTTTTTTTTTCCTTTCAAATTTGCGAATTGATTTATTCTATGTTTTTTCTAATTTTTTTCGTTTATGTATTTATTATTATTATTATTATTATTATTATTATTATTATTATTATTATTATTATTATTATCTAGAGGGGTTCTCCCTACACCTATCATGGTGTCACATTATGACATCCATGGCTCAAAACATTGGGCTTTGTAGGGGTTACGATTATGAACCACTTCGGGGTCTAACTGAGCACGTCAGTAGTAGCTCGAAAGAGGTACGAAGTTGCTTTGGAGAAAGGTATGAAGTGGCTCAAATTGCAGTGTCATATTATGACACCCACAATGGTTGTCAAAAGAACCCCACTGTATTATCTATTACAATAGCAAATCTGCATTCGTTATTGATTTGACAAA